ACCCTCTCCTGGGGTTCCCTGCATTCCCTGGAAAGGTGGAGCAGCATCCCATAGCCTGAGCACGTAACCTCCCCTGGGTGCTCCTGGCCTCCCCAGGCAGAGCCCACAAAGGAGGGGTAACACGGGCTTGGCCTCGAGCAGCACCCGTGGGGTTCTTGAAAAAGGTCTCAGCAGGACCATTTTGCAACCTGCAAGTCCATGGAGGGATAAAACAAGATGCTGCTTTGACTGAAGTATTTGTACTTGCACAGTGTCAAAACCTAGAAATGTCAACCTTGGCTTATTTTTGGGTCTTTATTCAGAAAAAGGGAGAAATGGCAGCTGAGGAGCAATTGCTCTCAGAGGAGCCGGCTATGCCGAGCGTGTGCGACCGAATCAGGAGCCATTCGAAGGGGGTGGAAGAGACCCTGCCACCCCCGTTCCTCTAAGAACTGGTGGTGTGAGGGAGCGGCAACTCACCTGTAAGCAGGGTCAGCTTGTTGGCTGAGCATCTGGGAGCTGGACGGTCGGAGAACACCGGTTCCTCCACGCTCTGGGCTCTGCCTGCTGGGAAGCAGAGTGCTGCCGGTGGCTGGGACAAAATGGGCTCAGTGGCCACATGTCCGGGAGGGGAGGAGGGGGCTGCTCCCAGGGGCTCAGAAGTGGCCCCAAAGGTGGTCAGCTCTGCTTCCCCTCGCAGTGCCGCAGCCCCTCTGCCTCGGGCTTCCCTGGCTCTGTTTCCCAACCCTGCATGCAGCAGGCGTGTTATTTTTAAAAATAAATTAAATGCGAAAAAGAGCCTCTATCTAGGCCTTCAACTAGAGTCTTAATTGGCCTCGCTCCCCAGGGACCAGGCGAGCCCTGGAGAACGCTGCGCTATCGGAGTAATGAGCTATTAATAAACGGCGCTGCTCGGCTTGGCTCGGCTCTGTGCTTGGCTCTGCCCGGGCCAGACAGGGACCGTGGGGCCCCGGTTGTCACTGCGGGGGACCCCGGGGTCTCCGCAGCGGGGGCAGCTTCTGCGGGATGTCCTGGAGCCGGCGGAGACGCGCAGGGGCAGAACCGGCCTCGGCTCCTTGCTCCGGAGCTCCTGTGGGTCTGCTGGGAGGGGGCTCATCCAGCACCCATTAATCCAACCCCCGTGGGGTTTGCTGAGGGTGTCGGGACTGTGCCAGGCTCCACCCGGGCACCCGTGGGGGGCAGCTGCGGGGCAGCGGGGGCGGCTGATGCTCTGGTCCGGCTGCGGAGCGGGAAGGAGAGCCCGGGGCTGTGGCTCCTGCTCCCCGGCTGCCGGGTAAAACAACGCCAGCAGGTTCGTACCTTTGCTTAGAGGATCAAGTGGCCAAAGTAGTAACCAAAAGTGGAGTACAGTTACCCTGGGCTCATTCATAATGAACGCGGCGGACAGCCGGCGTGCCCGTGGGCTGCCTCTGGCACAGCGGCCGTGGGCAGGGCAGGGGAAGGGGCCAGATCCCCCTTGACGGGGGAAGCAAGAGCAGGCACAAGATACATCCAGGTGTGGGAGACCATTAGCCTGGCAGCAGTGCCTGAGCGTATTTATTTAGTGTAGAGACACTAAATAAGTGTCACAATAAATTAGGAGGGTTTTTTTCCTGCAGGTTTCCAGGTTGTGCCTGGGTGCATCCTTCCCATCTAGCCCCGTGGTGGAGCAGGAGTGGAGCCTTCTGAGCTGGGGGGACCAAGCAAAGCCGTCCCCCCCCCTCACCCTGGAGCTGGCTCAGGTTCCCGAGGCCGCCAGCCAGGCAGAGCCGATCACAAAATGGCTCTTGGCACGGCTGTGAGCAGCCTCCTTGAAGGCAGAGGCTGCCAAGCAGCTCCAGCCGCATCCCTCTCCGGTGCCCAGGTGGCATCTGGGGACCCCTGGTTACTGGGCATGGGGGGGTCAGGACACGGCGGGGGGGTCGAGTGCAATGGGTGAAGCCTGAGCAGTGGTAGAGAGAGGGGCTGCGTGGCTGGTGAGGGGGGAGGAAGGGGCTGGGATGCATGGCAGGGGCAGCAGTGGGGTCTCCAGTCCTACCCTGCTGCCCCCCCGGCAAAGAAAGCCGGTGCTGCATCCATCCCGCCCGGCTGTTAATCCCCTCCCTGCGGCTGTGTGAAAAATGATAATGCTTCCCTCTCGGTTTGAGTCGTTGGAAGAAAAAGGGAAATGTGGCAAAATGAAGACACGCACCAAAAAAAAAAAAAAAAAAAAAAAAAGTCCCTGAAAGATAATCTCCTGCGGCTCTTAAATTGCACCGAGCAATGGGTTTATTGCCAGAGAATTGCTCAGCGTGGATAATAGGATCGGGGCAGGAAATTATCCCCAGCGACTGCATCCTTCCCCACGACGTGGGGACAGAGAGGGTCAGGAGCCCCTCCGGCCCCCCGAGGCCATTCCCATGTCCCACCGGCCCCTTGGGGACAGGAGGGAGAGTGACACCAGCCTTTGCTGTCCTTTGTCAGCACCGTGGCCATGGGGATGGGCCGGCTCCTGCTGTCCCCACTCCATCAGTGTCACCTCTCCGGGAGGTCCCGTTGCTCATCCCGGTGGTGCCGACCCCGGGGCAGGGCTGCGGTGAGCCCAGCGCTCTGTGAGTGCAAAGAAGGACAGGGAAGGGGGTAAGAAGGAACGGGAGGGCAGCAAAACCTTCAGGCTCCTTCTGGTCTGTCCCCCCTGAGCTTCCCTGGGGCTGGGGTGCGGATGCTGCACGAGGGACAGAGCCCGCCGGGATGGGGTCAGGACACAGCTGGGGGGAGGCTGGGGGCTGCGGGAGAGAGGATTTGGGGAGGAGAGGGGCTGGGAGGTCTGGGCGAAGGGCAGCAACTTGGTGGGAAGCAGGGGATGGCTCAGCACCCTGGGATGGGGACCTGCGTGTCCTGCCCCGCTATCCCCGTGGCCCTGGGTGCTCTCTCCTCCGTGGTGCCCCTTAGCAAAGGGGCAGGGATGGGGGATGCGAGTGGATGTGGTGGCTCGTCCTCTCCACACTGTGAGCCCACCCCAGCAGCTCCCAGAATCTCTCCCAGTGACAAGCAGCAGCTTCTCCTTTCTCCCTCCATCACCCCCTAAACTAAGCACCAGCTGCACGTTTGGCCTCTTCAGAGGCTTTTGGTCAATGAGGACGTGCGGTGGCACTGGGATGGGCTCGGACATGCAGCAATGCCACGATGGGCTCAAGCAGCCACAGATGTCGCATCCTCCTGTCCCCTCTCCCCACATCCTGCTGGGCTCTGACAGTCGCGTTTGGGGTCCCCAGTGTGCCCAGAGGGAGCATGTGTGCGGGGCAAAAAACCCCTGAAGCAAGGTCCAGCGCTCCCTGGAACCGTGGCTTGGGCTTCCCTGCAGGCAGAAGGGCTGGAACGAGCCTGGCTGCCCCTTGGGTGCCACACACCAGTTTGTCCCAGCGCCGTGAGGGTGATGAGCCTCCTGTGCTGGAGGGGCTGGGGCCCCTCTGCCCCTTCAAGCCATCGGTGTGACTGAGCTATTGAAAGTTTGGAAAATGGCGAAAGCAGGGGTCTGAGTCTGCAAAGGGAGATGGCCCGTGGACGGGTGGGTTTTGACATGAGAAGCTGGTACGGCGAGGGCAGCCGGAGCGCAGATAAATGCTGTCGATAAAGAGCAGATGGGGAGAGGGATGCTCGTGCCTCCTGCTCCGGAGGTGCAGCAGCCAGGAGGCACCTGGGAAGGCACAAAGCAAATAAATCCTGGCAGTGAGGAGGTGGAAGAGTCGGAGGTGGAAGAGGAGAAGGAGGCGGCTGTCAGGACATGGTGAGCGTCTCCCCATGGAGGCAGGCAGGCCAGGTTGGGGCCCCCACGTTGATGGTGATGCTCTGCCCAGGCTCTTGCCCCCACGCCGCTTTGGCGAGCCAAACCCAACCCCAGGAGATGTTGAGCCACTTCTGGTCATGTCATTCCGTTCATTTGGGATATTTTCTCTTTGGGTCTTTCACCCCCAGCACGGGGCTGAGACCTGCCCCACTCGCTGCACCTCCACAGAGGAGCTGGAGGGGTGGTTCTGCTCTCAGTACCCCCCAAATTGCCTGCATTTCCCTCACCGGGCCCAGAAACACCCCGCAGCACCCTGACCAAGCAGCTCTGCCACTTAATTAGGTTAATGACAGTGCTTCGTTATGGAAAGGCAGCTGAGGTGGGCACTGGGAGGTGCATCTCTCGGTGCAGTGGCAGCCCAGCAGATTTGGGGCACAGAAGGCGACAGGGAACGGGGAAGGGGAAGCAGAGAAAAGAGAAAGCGGCGGCAAAGTGCTAATCCCTGGAAAGGAGGGCAGCTGGGGCACCGCACCGCGCAAGGTCGGTGTTAATCCCTCGTCTGCGAAGATCCTGCCTGCAGCCGCCTTAATCTCAGCTCTGGGAGGGTGGCGCTGGGGACGGGGACGGGAGGACTTGTCCCTACGTGCAGTGCCGAGCGTCCCCCATCCTGCGGGACCTCACTGAGCCCGGGGTCTAAGAAGGAGGATTCGTGCTGCCGGACAAGATCTCACAGCAGCTGCGTGGGGAGCAGGGGCAATGTGGCATCCCACCCGCGTCAGGAGTTTGTAAGGCCTCTGGCTGCATCTCTTTTCTCCTCCACTGCCCTGGGGGGTCTGTGTCTCTGGTTATCCCAGGCTCTCGCTGTTCCCTATGCCTGTGCGTGCACCGTCAGTGGCACAGAGCAGGTGTGAGCTTTTGGGGAGGGGAGCAGAGGCTGAGATGTGGGTCTGCAGCCGTGTCTCCTCTCACAAATCTCTCCCCCTGCCTCAGTTTCCCTGCTCTCCTAACGGTGCGTGAAGGCGGTGAGGCTTGTTTAGCCCAGGTTTGCATAGGGCACAGTCACCGGGTCACACGTTAGGGCTGAGAAAGGGGTCCTGAGGGTTTCCGGGGGGTGCTGGGACCTTATCAGCGCCATGGGCCGTGGTTCGGGGAGTGTTTTCCAGTCTCAGCCCACAGATGGGTGATCTGGGGCTGGGTAGGACTTTGCTGGCCGCCCCCGGGCTCACCGCTGACTCCGCATCTCTCTCCCTTCCAGGCGCGTGGGAGAATGGTAGCGAGCCCGTAAGACCATGCTCCACACAATGACATGTTGGCTCCCGGTCCTGGTCCTCCACCTGGTCCTCCTGAGCCCGCCGTGGGCGGCAGCCTGCCCTGCCCGCTGCGAGTGTGCCCCGCAGATCAAGTCGGTGGTGTGTCACCGCAAGCGGCTCACCTCCATCCCCGAGGGCATCCCCACCGAGACCAAGATCCTGGACCTCAACAAGAACCGCATCCGCTGCCTGAACCCGGGGGACCTCTCCCCGTACCCGCTGCTGGAGGAGCTGGATTTCAGCGAGAACATCATCTCCAATGTGGAGCCGGGCGCCTTCAGCAACCTGTTCAACCTGCAGACCTTGCGGTTGCGGGGGAACCAGCTCAAGCTCATCCCCCCGGGGGTCTTCACCAAGCTGACCAACCTCACCCTCCTGGACATCAGCGAGAACAAACTCGTCATCCTGCTGGACTACATGTTCCAGGACCTGCGAAACCTGAAGAGCCTGGAGGTGGGCGATAACGACTTGGTGTACATCTCCCAACGGGCTTTCTCGGGGCTGCTGGGCCTGGAGCAGCTGACCATTGAGAAGTGCAACCTGACCTCCATCTCGGCCGAGTCGCTCTCCTACCTCCAGAACCTGGAGGTGCTGCGGCTCCGGCACCTCAGCATCTCTGCGCTGGAGGACCAAAACTTCAAGAAACTTTACAACCTCCTGCAACTGGAGATCGACAACTGGCCGCTGCTGGAAGACATATCCCCCACCAGTTTCCAGGGCCTGAACCTCACTTCGCTCTCCATCACTTACACCAACATCACAGCCGTGCCCGCCACTGCCTTGAGGAACCTGGTGTACCTCCGGTACCTGAACCTGTCCTACAACCCCATTAGCACTGTGCTGAAGGGCTCCTTTAAAGACCTCATCCGGCTCCAGGAGCTCCACATCGTGGGCGCTCTTTTGGTGTCGGTGGAGCCGCAGGCTTTCTCCGGCCTGAGACAGATCCGGCTGCTCAACCTCTCCAGCAACTTTCTCTCCACGCTGGAGGAGAGCACCTTCCACTCCGTCAACACGCTGGAGACCCTGCGTGTGGACAGAAACCCGCTGGCCTGCGACTGCCGCCTGCTCTGGATCCTGCAGCGACGGAAGACGCTCAACTTCGATGGGCAGCAGCCCATGTGCTCCTCGCCCCCCGAAATCCAGGGCAACGCCCTACGTGACTTCCCGGACTCTGTGCTCTTCGAGTACTTCACCTGCCAGAAGCCCAAGATAAGGGATCGGAAGCTGCAGCACGTGACGGCCCGGGAAGGGCAGTCCGTGTCCTTCCTTTGCCGGGCGGATGGGGAGCCGGACCCCTCCATCTCCTGGGTGTCCCCCCAGCACCGCATGATCACCACCCGCAGCACGGGGCGGGCGACCGTGCTGCCGGGGGGCACCCTGGAGATCCGCTTCGCCCAGGTGCAGGACAGCGGCACCTACATCTGCATCGCCAGCAACGCGGGAGGCAACGACACCTACTTCGCCACCCTGACGGTCAAGGGGCGGCCAGCCGATGGCTCCCACTACGCGAACCGAACTTTGTACCTCAGCGAGCTCAACGACACCTCCCACAACGACACGCAGGTCTTCTTGAAGTTTACGTTGGACCTCAAGACCATCCTGGTCTCCACGGCCATGGGCTGCATCACCTTCCTGGGTGTGGTGCTCTTCTGCTTCCTCCTCCTCTTCGTCTGGAGCCGGGGCCGGGGGCAGCACAAGAACAACTTCTCGGTGGAGTACTCCTTCCGCAAAGTGGACGGTCCCACCACCACCACCGGCCAAGGAGGAGCCAGGAAGTTCAACATGAAGATGATCTGAGCCTCTCCCAGAGGAGAACCATCATCTGCTGCCTGGCCCCAGGCACGGCCGCAGCGTGCCGGGGCCAGGGCGGGTGTGTGGGAGCAACTGGTGACATCCCAGCGCTGGCGGTGGGACCTTGCTGTGCTGGGACGCAGCTGGAGACGTGCCGCAGGTGCCGCGGGCCAGCACGGTCAGAACCACCTGGACCTCAGGGTCGGGGAGCGACGGCCCCGGCTGTCCCGGCCCCGCGGTGAGCTCTTGGGGCACAGTGGCTCAGGGGCCGGCCCAGCTCCAGGGGCTCCTCATGTAGCCAACATTTTTGCTACCAACTATGCATTTCTCTAGCCAAGAGATCAGCAGCATTTGGGCCTGGGAACAAAAAAAAAAACGGCTTCCTTTTTTTTCCCCCTTTCCCGTTTTTTTTTAAGAGACTCTTCATAAACTTTCCTGGTGGTCGTTTATGGTTCTTCTCTTTTCTGGTTGTTGGGATTTTTTTTTTTTTTTTTTTTTGGTCCAACGATTTTTTTTTTTAATGAATTTCCTAGAGAAATGTCTTCCGGGGCAAGGCGGAACTGGGGCGCCAGGGGAGGTTGTGCTGAGCCGGGGGTCTCCCGCAGCCCCTCAGCAAAGCCGGACCCCACAGGGCACGGCCGTGCCTTGAGAGCTTCCCGTCGGCGGATTTAAGATGCGGCATCTGCAAACGCAGGTGCCCAGGGACGCTCCTGCACAAGCAATAATCACCCACCCATGGCTGAGCTCTGAGTAGGTGTCAGGAAGGGAAAAAAAGGGAAAAAAAACAACCCACAAAATTAGGCCAAGGGCATTAAAATAAGGAGCAGCCCCAGGGTGATGCAAGGCCCTGTCTTTGCATCTGCCCAAGCCGCCCCAGGAGCAGCGGGGGGTGAAGGGGTGGGGGGGTCGGGATTCGTATGGGTGCAAAAGGCCCTTTTGAGTCCATTTCCTTTGGCTTGCAAAGTCGAAGTCTGCAGGAGAGCAGGATCTGGCTCGTCCGTGCGCAGGGAGGCCGTACAGCCCAGGAAAGAAGTGGAGAGAAGGGCTTGGAACAGGCAGCTCGGGACCTGACGGCAAAAAGAAAAACCAAGAGGAGGTCCCCACTGTCACCTCCATCGCACCCGCCCAGCTCCTGCACCCTCCAGCGCTGAGGACCGCGGGTCGGTGTCCCTGGTTCCCAGCTTCCCCTCCCACCCCTGCCCGGGCAGCGCTGGCTTCAGCTCGGGGTGTAGGTTTTTGGGTGGGAGAAGGAGCAGAGCTGGCACAGCTGGAAGGAAAGAGCCCGGAGGGATCCGAGCCAGGCCAGGGATCTTATTGTTTCCTCCTCCTCTTTCTTCTCCTCCCACGTGCACCCCAGGGGGGGGTTGCTGCAGGTCCCACCTCTGTCCCCCTTCCTGTGGGCTCGTGTCCCCCCCAACGTGGACGTCCCCTCTCCAGCCGGCAGCGCTCCGGCTGGGCGCGCTGGCTCTGGGAGCTGGAGGGCAGCTGAGCCCGTGCTGCCGGGCATCCCAGGGCTGCACTCGAGGCAGGAGCTCACAGGGGGTCGGGGCTGTGCCCCCCCCCTCCACACACACCCCCCCACACACACCTCTCCGTGAGGTTTGGTGCATGGGGCACAAGCGCTTGGGTCATCCACTGCGCCCCGTCCTGCTGCCCCCCCCCATCCTGCTGTCGCGCCCATGGGCGTTGGGTGCCCCCCAGCTGAGCCCCAGGGGGGGAGAGGGGGGAAGGAGCCGGCGTGCTCAGCACCCAGCCCTCCTCTCCAAGGAGCTCCCCTTGCCTGCTGGGGGTGCAGCCAGTCACTGCCAGGATCCAGCCCCTGCCCGGGGAGGCGGGGGGGTGCTGCCCATCCATCCCCTGCCGGGGGTCCGGCCGTTGCCCGTGACCCCTTCGCGTGGCCGGTGCCCCCTCGTTCCCCGAGCCGTGCATGCCGCGTCGTACTGGGGGTCCCACTGGCCTCACCCACACGCCCTTGTTCGGTGTCTGGGTGGGTTTTTTTTTTTTTTACCTGGGGCAAGGGAGGGGATTGGGCAGGGACCCTTGCAGCTGGGAGCAATGGGAGGTTTGGGCAGTGCAGACCTGGCACAGTTTTATATGTAACGAGCATGTGAAATGTATTTGCGGGAGAAAAAAAAAAAAAAAAAAAAAAAAAAAAAAAAAAAAAAAAGGGACTTCTGTGGCTCATTTGTTTTGTGTTTTTTTTTTTTCCCCCCCTCCTTTTCTTTTCCATGTGCCTCAGATAAGAAAAGCCAAAACCAGTGGACAAAACCCAAGCAGGGCTGAGTGCGAGCGTGGAGCTGGGCAGGACCCGGAAAGGGCAGCCAAAGCCGCTTGAACCGTGTGCAGGATTCGTGCTTTGTGCTCTCCAGACCTGCTCCAGCCTGGTGCAAGCCCAGGGGTGTCCTGGGGTTCAGGCAGGTGTTAACCCCCACCCCGAGTCCTGCTGGGCTTCAAACCCCCCTACCTGGTCATCACCACCATCAGCCCCACAAAACCCTTAATAAACAATGCTAAACCAACTTTCAGAGGGTACTAAAGTCCATATTAATAACTAATAAATGATTAATGAGCATGTGTTAACAAACTGCCACTGCTGTTAATCTATTATTAATTATTAATGGAGTGTTTATCAGGATGCCTTAAGCTGAAGGGTGCAAAGCCAGCACCTCGCCTCCTACTTGCAGGGAAACTGGTGGGGGTGGAAGGTGTTAAAAGGATTCATGTACGCACAAGAGTGTGCACGCGTGTTTGCGTGCACATGCAGAGCGACACGCATGCAGACAAACCTCTCCGATGAGACTGGAAAACTGGGCACTGGGGAATCTGAGCCGCAGCTCTCTGGCTGGGGAAACTGAGGCACGGAGGGGCACTGCAGGCAGGCCAAGGAGCGGGAGCCAGCAGCATGGGGGAGGAGAGGGAGGGCGTGGGGGGGGGGGTGTCCCTCTTCTGAGGAAGACTGAAGTGACCGTCTTGGTCCCCTTTCCTGTCCCACCAGCCCCAGGGGACACCTTGGCCCATGAGAGGCCAACCCTACCCTGCTCGGCCAGCCCGGCGTCCCCTTGCCCAGCTGGCTGGGCTCCATCTCTCCTTGTGTCCCCAGCAAAGGGGCTGCTACCCCGCCCCAAAATTTCACCACCACCACCCCCCCATTTCCCTCCTTCCAGGCTCAGTGGCTGACCTGCCCCCATGCCAGCCCCCAGTCCCAGCTTTCCCAGCATGGGACTGGGAGCCTGCGGGGTGCTGGAAGCAAAGCAATGCTTCCATCTGCTGGAGAAAAGGACCCTGGGCCAGTTCCCAGCCTCTGCACCCCAAAATTTCACACCCCACTGCTCCCTGGGAGCGCGGGGGGGGGCTCCTGGCACCCACCTCACCAGCACAAAGGAGGGTGCTCCTGGTTGCAAAATAACCAGGGTGCTGCCAGCACCCTGGTCCTCCTGCAGCTGGGGTGAGAGATGTCATGGGAGTAAAAGAGGAAATTGGGGTTTTTTCTCTCATTTCCTGCATGAAAAAAATATTGTGTGGCAAAAGAGTCCCAGGAGGTTAAGGGTTGGGGTTACAGTTCACTCCTGTGCCAGAGGATCTGGGTGCACCGTGGCCTCAGGGACACCCGTGGGAGCCAGGGCTGAGCCCACCCACTCCTGCAGCAGCTTTGGGGGAGGGGATGAGAGTTGCCAGGACCGTAGATGCTGAAAAACCAGCTCAGGTGGTTTCGGTGCCCTCTGTTGCCCACACAGGCCTGGCAGTGCCACAGACATCACCCTGGTCTGCCCTGAGCCAGGCACGGAGCATTCCCACAGCATCAATGTATTGAGAAAAAAATGTTGTGGGGGGAAAAAAAAAAATTTAAAAAAATAAAGACAATTAGAAAAATGCAATTTTCCAGCAGGTGCATTTAAAGATCGTATCTCCCGCTGGGAGGAGAAACCAATTTCCTTACAGACTAAAAAGACTTTGGCTAAGTAAAACTTTCCTGCATCAGTTCCCCAGATCCCACCCCTGTGCAAAGTGGGGGCAAAGGGCTCAGCACCCCCTGGACCAGAGACTGCAGTTGCCATCAGTGCCCTGCAGTTACCAGCCTGGGCCAGGCAGAGGACCCCACCGATGGATTCGGGGGTGCCCCGTGGCTTGGAGAAGCAAATCAGCATTTGCTCACTAGTCCTGCAGGGCTTAGCAATATAAAATAACAGCCCTTTTTCAAGGGCTTGGCTTGCTTTTAAACTTGGATTGTCTTTTTTTATTATAGTAAGAGGCAGCAGGAACTATGCACCTAATACTTCTGCAAAAGGCAATTCCTGCTTACCCTGCTGTGGGGCTCCTCTGGGCTTGTGCCACCTCTCTCTAGCTTAGTAGGGTCACGGTCACTGCATTAATTCTGTAGTTTTATTTCTAATGGTCTCTGGTATATCTTGAAGGTAACATTACTCATTAGGGAAAAATATTGATGCTTCTAATAGATTTACTGTTGCTTAAACCGGTTTGTGGTAGTCACGAACATAAATGACTTAACTGGGATGAGGGACATACATACACTCACGCCATTGCCGAGCACCAGGATCCTGCTGAATCTTAAATGCTCCATTTATATTCTTTATTTTTACAGCATTATAGCCCGAGCTGACGTGTTGAGGGAGCAGCACAAAGCCAAGCCTCCCCGCTGGGCAGCGCTGGGCTGCCGGGGCACAGGGACGAGCAGCTCCAGCAGCAAAGCGGGCAAGAGCGTGGGAAGGCCCACGCGGGTACCGGGGCAGGTTGTCAGCTCCCAAAGTCTTGCACATCCTCCCCGAGCTGGCGCCGGATTCAGGCGTGACTCAGCCCCGACGTGTATTTTTTATCAGCTCTAGCATACGGCCTCGGCACCGCAGAAACAGCCCTCGGCGAGCGCCGCGGGCCAACGCACCCGAACCTACCAGCTTCCTTGGGGTAGGCTGGGAAATACGGATTGCAAAACACCCGGTGAGGAAACCGTGGAGGAGGGTGGGCGCCTCGCAGGGGGTGCCTGCAGGCTCACAGACACCCACCAAGCCCCAAACTGACACCCCCCCCCACCCCCCCGAAGCCCTGGAGAGGCAGCGAGTCCCATGGGTGCCCACGCCGCTGCTGGGGTTGCATGGTCTGCCTCAAAAGGTGAAAAATAGGGTGGCTTCCACTTTCTTCGTGCAAATCCATGCTCCCCAAAGGCTGTTCATCCCCAGCCTTGGTGCTCCCAGGAGAAATCCCTGAAGTCGGCTTCCCGCAGCTGTCAGCAGAGGGGCTCACCCACTCACCCGGGCCAATTGCTAATGAGTGCCATTAGTTATTTGCTAGTTAGTTCAAAGACTGAATAGAAAGGAGGAGATATTAACATATTGGGGGGGTTAGAGTGTTAAAAGAGCAACTTTATGCCAGAGGGGACAGCCACTGATGGGATTTTTTTCAGTAGCTGAGTCGTGTTGCTTCGTGCTCTCTCTGTGCCTGTAAAGCTCTGGAAGGAAAAAAAAAAAAGTGTGTTCTAATGACTGGGCGCCTCTTGTGCAATGGCTGCAGGAAATTCCAGCAAAAAATACTGAATAAAAAAAAAATAATTCTGCCTCACCGAGCCATCTAGAGTAACACAACCTGGACAAATTAGTGACGTAATTTTGGGGGGGGGGGGGTTACCATGGGAAACCCCCCCTTCAACCCAGTTGCCGTCCAGAAAGCAGCTCGGGGAAAAGCAAACCCACTGCAACAGGTTGCACCGAAAGCGACGCAATTACTGCGACGGCAGCAGGAGCCTCCACGGGCAGCGTGTGGCCCCGGAGCAGCGCCGGGGGCTGCCGGGGAGCGAGGCCAAGCCTCCGGCTTCCTTTAGACTTGCGAGAAGCGGGTTTTGAAAGAACATCTTCCTGCGCTGGGGGGGGGTTGCAGCGAGTTGTGCAAGGCGATTCCCGGCGGCAGCGCCATGGCCAACGCCGGGGGAGTTTGGGACGGGGAGCGGGAGCCTCTGCCAAGCCGGGAGATGGAGCTGGAGCCCCCCAGGCCCCCACCGCTGCCAGGGAAAACTCAGAGGTAACAAACCGCTCTGCAAATGGGACCCAAAAAGGAGCTTCCCAGCAGCAGCAGCCCAGCAAGGCTGCTTCAGCCCGACGCTTTGCACCGCAGCAAGAGGCAGGGCAATAATCCCCGGGGTTCCTGGGGGGGGAACGGGGGCCGAGCTGGGCCAAAGAAGGGCAAAGCCTGAAGTTGCACAGTGAGTGATGTCCCCAGCAGAAACCGGTGTTTTTAAAGAAAGCCAATGTGGTTTCGGTACCGCTTGTGGCAGCAGGGTCAGAGCTGCAGGTCTGCATCGAGCCTGACCAGGATGGGGAAACGAAACCTCCACGGGGGCTCCTTCCCGCTGCTCTCCTTCTTACGGGCTCGCTGCTTTTTCCTCCCCACGCACAGCCCCCCCCACCCCGCTCTGCCCCCCCAGACTTGGCCTGGGGGGTGTCAAAGGCTTTTCCCGCTCTCCTCCCACACCTCTCCCACCATCGTGTCCTCCTCACGGCCACCCAACGCGGACCACAGGGCAGACGTGACCCCGTGTGTACACCACCCCCCCACAACCCCCCCTGCATCCATATGAACCAACACGTGTGAAGCCCCTGAGGCAGCCCCCCACCCCTCAGCAGTAGGAGCACCCCCGGTGCAGGAACTAGAGTCGCTGAGCCCCCAAACTCTCAGTCTTTTGCCCCAAAACCACACAGCCAGGGCTCCCCCAGGCCACTGCTTCCCCTTTTTCCTTGTTCTTCCCCTAAGCCGGCACTGAAAGGAGACAGAACCCCCCCGGGGGGGGGGCGAGGGCTGACTCCCGGCTCCGTGCAGGGCCGTCGTGCAGGCACGGGGCAGCATGCACACCCGCTGCAGCAGCCTGGACCTGGGTGCCCCCGGACCGCCTGCCCCCATGCCGGACACCCCGCGGGGCCGCCCGCCTCGACCCCCCGACTCAGCCCTCATCTACAGCAACGTGGGTGAGTGACACCCCGACCCCGCCGCCCTCCTCCCCGCCGAGGTGCCAGCTTGGACGGTGGGGGACAAACCCCTGCTGCTGTCCCTGTCCTCCTCCTGCGGTACCCGGCCATCACCCCAGCTGGCGCTGGGCATTGCTTTGGAGCTGGAAATATGGGGCAAATAAGTAACAACGTGCTTGTACGCCCACCCTGCTCAGTTTCCCACTTTCTTCCAGCCCCTCATCCCACCCTAGGAAAGTCTCAGCCCTGCCGTGTTTGTTCCTCCCTCCCCCAGGAGAGCTGCGAGCCCACCTCGTCCCCTGCAAGGCTAGCCGAGGAGAAGGAGCTGGGAGACCCCCCTCTCAGCCCAACCAGGACCCCCTGCCTCCCCCATTGCCAAAAAAGCATCTCCAGCGAGCAGAGTCCCTCCCGGAGCAGGGGCCATCCCAGCACTATCAGGGTGACCCCACGCGATGGGCCGGCAGCATTCTCTACAGCACCCCACCACCCCAGCCTGAGGAGGGGGCTCCTGGTTCTGTCCCACTACAGGACAGACCCTCCTGGGGAGCCAAGAAGCCCCTGACTAAGTCCCAAAGCCTGGGGGAACCGCTGGCCCGGACCAGCCCACAAAAAGCCCCATCGCCCAGTCCGGCGGAGCTGACGTTCGGGACGGCGGATGGGGAGCTGGGGCAGCTCCTGGAGAGCCCGGCTGGGGTGTGCGGGGTGGTGTTGGGGTGCCAGGCAGCCACCCTGGCCCGGCTCTCGGCTCGCATCCAGGAGGAGCTCGTGGGGCCGGAGGAGCGGCAGCAGTTGCTGGAGGCAGAGCTGGCAGGGAAGAGCTGGGCAGCGCTCAGCATCCTGGACCGGGAGCCGTGCTGCGAGAGCGGGGACGCCTGGTATTTCCGTGTGGGCTTCACTTTTGAGCAAACCCAGCTGGTGTTTGCAGCCAAGGTAAGAAGGGAACTGGAGAAAATGCCCTGGGTGGTGCAGAGGGAGCCAGCTCCTGCAGCACCGGGGGCTGCGATGCTGCAGGGAGGCGTGAACCGGGACCGTTGGCTTTTCCCCTGACCCCCGTCACGCAGGCACTTCCCCTTTTTGCACCTACTTCTGCATTTGCTAAATGAGACAGCAGGCTGGGGAGGCGAGGGTGACAGCTCCCACAGGCCCAGAGGTCACGTCAAGGAAAACGGCACCACTGGGGGAGAGGCCCTGGCAAGTGATCTCGAGGGGCCAGTGGACGCAAAGTAGAGGCTGGAGCAGAGCTGGCTCCTCGGGCAGCGCAGGATGAGACCCAGCAAAGCAGCTTTGCAGCTAACCTGGGGGTTACACACACCCCACCCCGCACTCCCCCTTTCCCATTTCTTGCTCAAAGCCATTCTGGTGGGTGCCAGTGGGTTCAGAGGGTGCGTGGGGAGCCCAGCACCGCGGGTGGGTCAGGCCAGGGCTGGTGACCCTGAGCTGAGGCAGCGGCCCATCCTCACGCTCCGTCCTCATGCATCTGGCCATGTCCTGTCTCCATCCTCACGCAGCTGGCCATACCCTGTCTCTCCTTGCAGGTCCCCAAGCCATCCTGCACCAGCCTGGGGGTGCAGAGCTCCCTCGGGGTGCACTGCAGCATCCAGCGCCTGATCGGCCGCTTCACCAACCACCTCCCCTGGGAGCTGGTGCTCCCAGGAAGCCCCTCCAGAGAGAAGCCAGCCCATCTCGCCACCCGCCCTGTCCTGCAGGTCCTCATTTCTCCTGAGGTTCCCTACCAGACCCTGGCAGGCTTTGTGAAGGGATCCCACGGTTTGCACAGGACCAGCCCTGGGCACTACGAACGCCTGGCTTGCCTCCTCCTCCTGCAGGTGTGCATGGGGCTGGAGCATCTCCGGGTGCAGAACGTGGGGCGGGGGGACCTCTGCCCCGAGAACCTGCTGCTGGTGCAGTGCCCGTGTCCTCCCTGGAGCCAGCAAGGCAAGGAGGCATCCCTGGGGCTCTCCCTTCCAAGGCTGCTCATCAGCAGCTTCTTCAAGGTTCAAGACAAGCAAAGACCTTGTTCTACCAGCCAAGAGCAGGATTGGACCAAGGGGCTTGCTGCACCGCCCACCCCAGTGGCAGATGAGCTGAACGTAGGCATGCTGATCTATCAGATCTTGCACGTGGACATCTCTCTGGAGAACACCTTGGGGTTCAGAAGCAACAGACTTCCTCAGATCCCCTCCCTGTCCATCTATTCCACGGGACTCAAGCGTCTGGCCATGCTGCTTCTCCACAGAGATCCCTGCAAGAGGGTCTCCATCGAGCAGGCAAGGAGCATCCTGCAGGTCCTGCTCTGGGGACCTCGCCAGGAGCTCTTTGCCAGAAGCAAGAAGACTCTCGCTCTGCTCCGGAGCTGGGTGGAGGTGAAGAGGGCTCTGCTGCTCCTCAAGTTTGCGGAGAATTCGGTTGGGGCGGTGGGGAGCCCCGGCCTCGAGGAGTGGCTGTGCTGCCAGTACTTCAAGGAGGTCACCGAACACACGCTTTACCAAGCCACAGAGGCGCTCTACACTCCCTAAAGGCAAACTGAATTTCAGCCCACCCAAAGGGTCTCCTCGAAGCCAAGAGCCCACGAGGACCTGGCCAAATCCCCCAGCTCACAAGGAACCCAAGCTGGGCCTGGCTGGGAAAACTCTGTTTGCAAACCCAAACCCGCTTTTCCCACAGCACGTGAATGCTGAAGCTGGGACCAAACTCCCACCCATGACTCCCACAACGCAGGGTGTGTTTTTACACCCTCAACCAATTTTTGTTTGGGTCCAGTTTATCACAGCACCTCAGGAAAGACGGCTGGATGGAAGCCACAGGATCAAGCACCAAGTTAGTGGCTGATTATCCTGAGTAAAGTTTACGGGGCTAAGACTTTGTACAAAACCCTCTCAGACCTCTCCTCTGGCAGTGAGGCTTTCACTGCTTTAAAGAACAATGCAAAGCCACACATTACAGGTTACCTTAATGCACCGTTAGCAAAGGAGAAATACAATCCCACGTACAGCCTGCTCTTTTAGAAACAATTTGTGGCATAGTCACAAACGTAAATGACATTTTAAAGGGGGAAATACAGCAGCCACACAGCTTCAATAAAACCCAGAGCTGAGCCTCTTAAATACTGGTCCTTTATGTGCTTCTTTGACAGCATTACACATCCCAGTGATGTATCCAGAGAGAAACACAAAGCTGGTTCTTCACTGCCCGGTGGTGATTAGCCGGAACAGCCTCGATGGTGTCTAGCAAATAGCTGAGGTTAGTTTGTGGCCGCTGCCCCCCGGGACCGGGCTGCAGGGTCGCTCTCTGGCTGCAGCGAGGCAGGGCCCCTGCATCTGCTGCTCGCTGTGAACCGCGCAGCGCCACGCAGGATCTGCGCCCTGGTCCCCAAACCCACGCAGATGATGAGCCGACCGTCATAGTGAAGCGCAAAGCCCCACTCGGGAAATTTAACTTATAAGTAATTATTAATCCACTCGCAGCTATCACCTGACAGCAGCAAGAGCAGCCTCCGTGGGCTGCGCACGCAGTGGGACGGACCATCCCGGCCTTGGCAGCCCCATGGACGTGGGCAGGGGTGCAGCAGGCGGTCACCAGAGCCTGTCGCGTGGCTGGATCAAGGAGGATTCCTCCTAGGAGTCCCTGAGTTAAAAAAATAAAAAAAACCAAAACTTAGTAAACCGGAGCTGTGACCCCTCCCAAGATGAACCCACAGAGAAGCAGGCTCCCAGTTCCCCCAGGCAGTGGGGTTTTGCCTCCCACCCTGCCCGCTGAGCGTGGGCAAGGCAGCAGCCTCATCCCCTGAGCTGCAAGCGGGGCTGAAGAACCAGCCGAGCCCTCAGCCCCTCTGCGCGAGGCTCCGTGCAAAGGGGGGGGGGGGATCATTCCCTCCCCGAGCAGCACCCAAACCCAGCAGTGCAGCCCCCCCGCCCAGGCCAGACAAACCAGGGGGGAACCAAACAAGCTCCCCGGCCACGCGGACCCTGACACAGTCAGCACCCAAGCACAGCCGGGCCACAGAAACGTTCAAATTTCAGTATGGGCTTTGGGGTCAAAAACACGCGGGAGGGGTTGTCCCTGCTGTCCCCACTCTCCCCTGTAATATCTCACATGGCTACAAGATGGCAGTAAAGGCCGTGGCACAGCAGCAGCTCACCCAACGTCACCTTGGGCATCTGATCCTGGAAAAACAAAAGACAAAACCCGCTTCTGCCGGCGCCTGCAGGCCCAGCCCAGCACCTCCTGCACCCTCATTTCTGGTGTCCACCTTGGGTGACCCCCCTCCCCTTCTGCCAGGAGCCCTCTGGGGTACCCACGAAACATCTACTGGGGGCCGTGGCCTTCAAGGCAGGACCACATACATCTCCACATTCCCACATCCCTCTGGAAAGCAGACCACAGCAGAGCATTGCAGGGGAAAACAGAAATTTCTCTAGAGAATCAGCTTACGAACTTCAGAGCTTGGCTGGCCTGCTGAGTAAAGGAGGACCATGCTCTCCCCAGTCATGCCCCCCTCCTCTTTGCTGGCCTTCGGCACGCCAAGAAGAGCAAGTGCACAGCTTTCCAGAAACACCTCACAGGAGGAACATGACCGTGCGGCCACAAAAAAAATTGGCAAGAGCCCTGTGAGGAGGAGAGCTCCCCCGCACCCTGGGGCTCAGCACAGCCAGCAGCCTCGGCCCCAGCAGAGGTGACTACACACCCCACCCCAGCGCCCGAGGAGCAGAGCAGAGGCTGAGCTGGTGCAGCATTAGCGAGAGGCTGATAAATATAGCTGAAGCCAATTAAACAGACCATCAAGAACACCCGCTTTTCGGTGTGATGCTAATTTAACATCAGGCTCTCCGGGAAGACGGTGCCGTGCCCAGAGTTGCTTCGTGTTACAGATGCTGCTACAGGACCTGCTCTGTGCTGCGTGGCTGAGAAGGGAGCTTCGGGGATTGCATTTTGGCGTGTCCCGTGCGAGTGCAGTTACTGCTTAGCCCAAAACATCTGCCTAGAGATGCGCTGGGGGGGGGGGTGATGCTTGTGCCCCCTCACTCGCACAACCTTCCATGAGCCAAGCTCCGTGGGGCTGTCAGGCCCTGGCAGAGCACACACCCCTGAAGATCATGTGCTCCTGATTATGCTGACTCACAGCAAAACAACCTGGTAAAATAACCCAGCCCAGAGATTCACAGGAAAGATTAATCAGCTCAAATGGTGCCAAGCAAGCCTCCATAGCTGCGTTAGGTACAGGGGGAAAAAAAAAAAAAAATAAATAAATACAAGGCTTTAAAGCACAGCCCTTTGGAGACATCTCTGGCAACTTCAGCACGAGTTTTGTTAACTCCAGCACTACACAAGCAGCCGTTTCCCCTGTTGGTCAGCATCCTGAACGCCAACAGCCATCGGTGGACTCCCAAGAACAGGCACTGCTTGACAACAGCCCCTTCTCCTTACGCTTCAGCCCATCAGACTCCGCAGGAGTTCTGGAGGCTGCCCAGCCTCAATGACAGTATTTAGCTACAGAAGTGCCCCAAGCTTTCCTAGATCACAGCCAAAGAACTCATCAAGCCTTGCTGCAATACGCGTTGGTGCGAGGCTCTGCTGTTACTGGCAACATCGAGACTTCAGGTATCAAAGTGAATGTTTGATACTCAAAGACTGCTGAAGCTCAAGGCAGCCACGAGCTGGGCTTCTCACCATTTCACTTGTGACTCTTCAACCAACACATGCCCTGAAGTATGAAACACTAACAGAGGAGGGATGTAGCAACCCCCCCATTACCAGCAGAAATTAACAACTCGCTAATTATTTCACTAAAAATAGGCTTTTATAGGATTGCTAGATATTTCAAGTCCTGGTAGATCAGAGTCATGAGTTCCAGTCGAGCAAAGAATGACCAACGCCTTTCCATACCTGCAGCTTTAATGGTTGGGCAGTTCCAGAGCCACCTCTTCAGAGTGCAAGTCTTAAACAGCTTAAACCAGCAATAAAAAGTAAAATATAAATTTTTATTTAGAATTAAAGCAAATACTTCAGTATCACAAACACAATATTAAACTTCAAGAAATATACTGCTAATTTGGAGGGAGCATTTATTTGCACAACCACAACATGCGCACAAATCCAGAAAAAGATGTGGAGTCTGAAATTTTCAACATCTCACCACCAGAGCAGTTGGTCACAATGTTTCATACAGATTTATATGTACTGTAATAGATGTTGACAAAATTTCTACAGAATCATCTTTATAGACAACAAGAAAGCTCTAAGAGGCAAACATTGCAATCTATTCTTCTTCTGATGAGTCTCTCTCAAACGTGTAGGCCATGAAGCAAGCATCTGGTCTCTTGGGGACAAGGGGATGCCCTGGTCTCACAATCTCAAAGCCCAAAAAGCTGAAAGTACGGAGCAATGCAGCTAGAAAAAAAGCAGAGAACAAGTTTCATCCACTTGATACAGTACAACAGTTAAAGCATCCACCAAACCCAACTTCAAATACTGCATTCACATCTCTGGACAGTGCTACGAGTTAATACCTACCTCTATCATCTCTGTTCTTGTGGAAACAAATGAACACATGATCAACTCGAAGCTGTTCTTCAGCAAACTCTAGAAGAACTGCAAAACTACAAGACAAATACAAAGCGTTCAGTGCACACGAGCAAGCGTTTCCTTCAGAGATACCAAGGCCCTGTGAGCCAACCTGCACGTGAACTCACAGGCACAAGAGGCTAGTAGTTGGAGACTCACACCAACAGGAGATCCCCGAGCCCTACGATTAATTTGAGGCAGAAATCTAGGCCTTCAGTGACACAGAAAATGTGTTTTCTGTTCAGCTGAAGGGAGAACACTGCAGTGACAGACTGAGAACCAGGCCGGTGTTTTCAGTGAATAAAAACAGCCACCCAGTACCTGGGAACACAGACTGACATCACCGACTTTTTGGGTTGGTTCTGCCTGACAAAGCAGGTACAAGAAGCCCTCAAACTACAATCATGCAGTTGCAGCCTCTTATAAGAGAGATCAAGTACCATGATTAGACTTCAACTTTTAGAACAATGGAAACTAACAGCAACAACAGGAAAGTGTTATTCCACTGATAGGCCTTCAAGAGGGAGGCAAGTTCAACTGCAGCTGCAGTTTATTCTACCCACCTGTCTTTGCTCCCTTCAGGCAGAGCACCACTGGGAATTTCTATATAGAGGTTGTTGTTGTTCAGCACTGCTCTCCAACTAATCTGTTTGGCATCTGTAAGCCGTGACTGGACATTCAGAATTCTTGTCCTGTTATTAGATGTTAGTTCTTCTGTTACATTCAGCCGATTATCCTGTAGCAGTAATACGTGCAAAGTTATTTCCAATTCATTTTGGAGAAGGGATAACTCCCATTAATAAGCTTGAGGCAAAAAATGCATTCAAGCTCACCACAGCAAGTTGCTTATCATTATTCATACTCACCGAATAAAATAAATTAGCTGAAAGATTGTGATCCCTCTGACTATTCCCTCGCCCACCTGGGATCTTCAGGGGTGGGTGAGGGACATCAGGAGCACCACCGAGGCCCCGGACCCAGGTTACTACAGCAATTGAAGGGAACCCTGGAACTAGAAAGGGATCACAGTTAAACAGGCAAACAAGAAGTGCTAGACAAAGCCCTGTGAATTCTAGGTTTTAAACAGTGATCAGATGGCAAGATTTAAACAAAACCCAAAACCTAGGCCAAAGGAACTCCTCCCACTGCAACCTGAGCAACTGGCAAGACAAAGGAACCTCCTGACCAGGGACAAGCACACTGCCTCACACCCAGACTCACAAGGGTCAGAAAGCTGCTACTGCAGTATTTGGAGAGAAAGACTAACTTGGAGATGAAAATACTCTCAGCTTGAAGTAAGCAAGGTGTATTTCTATACCAAGGCAGCAGTATGCTTGAGAATGGTTCAAGAGAAGAACCATTCTGCTATCACACATGCAAGATCCCATATTCTCCCCCACCTTGTTCTCTTAAATTAGCACGAGTACACTGGCCCAGCAAGTTAGGGATCATTTTTCCCTGTGATATACAGCCCTAATTACCTCAGACCTTTGCACCAGTACTCTTGGCTTGAGGTCAGAAAATTACATGAAATAGCCTCACAGATGTCACCACCTCAAGTGTTTTCACCATGCTCAGAGGCCAACTGACCAGTTTTAACATCAAGACCACACCTGACAACCTACAAACCTTTCTACAAATTCTTCAGCGAAATTCTACACTGCTCGGCGAAGTTCAGTACTTAAGAAGGTTATCCTCTTAAGATATGAAACATCTTTCTTGTATGCACACTAAGTTTCACCCCCCTATAAGCCCGCTTAACCAAATAAGCCTTCTACTGTACTAAGAGCAAACGCTGTGCTGCCTGGCCCCTCCCTCTGCACCATCCTTCACCCTGCAGGCTCACTCTTGAGTTGCGTCATCTCAGCAGATGCAGCAATCGAGGCCCTTAGGGAAATTTTCACAATCGTCCTGTCTGTAAGTGCCAGCAGCCATTTGCAAATCAGAATAAACATGTACAAAATAATCCACCATTTTGCACAGTTCATATGAGTTTCATTTTTTTAATGAGCTTGAAACTTGTCACAAATAATCCACATTCGAAAGGCACTGAATGGCCATATAGCTCGAATACTGTATGCTGGAAGGCATTATTAAGCACAGCAACCGCGAAGTTTCATTAAAAAAAAATAAATTTGTGCTCTCTCAATTAAATTAGTGTTCAATCTATTATTTTAAGCTCTTTGAGAGACGCTTTTCTTTAGTACTAGCATCAGATACTTATTTTATCTCAGAACGATTGTAGGGCTACCCATTCCTGATTACCCTTACAAATAAGCCTTTAAGCACCCCATTCAGAAGTGTGCAGGAGCAATCCTTTACACAATTCCACCTTTTGCCCAATGAAAGGCAGTGCATAATGAACACTGCCTACACTTTGCAATCAAGAATGTATTTCAGAGTGATGTTTGTGTACACTTACTCTTCTTGGAAAAAAATAATCTTTAAATAGCAGCCAAGTATAAAAATGGCCTTTAAAAAAATTTCACAGTCCACATACAAGGTCTAATCACGGCTTCCTTCATACAAGGCAGACTGATGTCCTAAGCATCCATCACACTACACCAGTCACCCCAATTCAGGTATTTTCTTCCCAGCATCTCTCAGGATTGTTTAATCTTTTGGTTGAGTTTTAAACTAACAGCTCTCCTTGAGAGTAGAACACTCTTACATTCTACTTCGGGCTCAGTATCCTCGATTAGTTTTCGAGAATATCTACGATTACATAAGGGGATAACAGCTTTCGATCCTTTGATATCTTTGCCTAATTGTTGGGGTTTTTTTCCCCCCAGCAGGATGACGACACCTCCAGGCCCCGTCTCCAGCCCGGCTTTTGCCTCCAGGCACCTTTCAGCCCATTAACTTGCTCGGGAGCGGCCTCCGGCTCAGCCGCCTCCCGTCAGGGGCCGGTGTGCGCTGTTCAAGGCTTCCTCCCACGGTTATGACAACTCCGGAGATGCGATGGGAGCTCCCCGCGCAGGCAGACGGCAGCTAACGTGGCACACGGTGGGAGGCACCGGCGGTGTGAGGCGACTTACGGGGGCGGCGGCCGCAGGCGGCCCGCCCGGGGGAGGGGGACGTGTCGCCCGGCGCGGCGGCGAGTCACGCCGGACCGAGGCGTGGGTGGGGGCGCAACCGGCGCTACAGCAGGCAGACACCGCCTTGGGCGTTCAAAAAAAAAAAAAAAAAAAAAAAACCACCTCTTTTTCTCTCTCCTCTCTTCCCTCCCCCCGTTTTCTGCGGGGGAGGAGACCAGGCCGCAGCGCCCAGCGCTGAGGCGGCGGCGCGGGCCGCCCCTCCCCCACCCGCCACGGAGCAGCTCTCCCCTCCCCCCGGTCACGGGGGAGGCGACCGGCGCTTGAGGGACGAGGAAGAGGAGGAGGAGAAGGATCAGGGCGGGCCCTGAGGGGAAGGGAGGAGGCGGCGAGCGCCCAGCGGTGCGAAGGCTGAGGGAGGCCCCGGCCCCTCACCTGCTCTGTCCGGTACTGAGGCTCAGCACAGCGGGCATGATGGTGCTTTTATTCCCCTCTTTCTCTCTAGCGAAGCAGTGACTGTTGAGTATCCGCTGCAGGGAGGATTTCACCATCCGGCCGCTCTGGTCCGAACCCCGAAACCCTCCGCCGCCTCCCGCCGGCCGCTCTCCAGCCTCTGCTACACAAAATGGCACCGCCGCCGCAGTGGGTCCTTATATACCCTTCCTAGGCCACGCCTCCCTCCATGGCAACGCCCCGCGGGGTGAGCCACGCCTCCGACTAGGAAAGGACTCCCGTCCGGTGAACAGCCTGATTGTCCCTTAGAAAAACTCGCTTCCCATTGGCTGAAGGGCGCGTTTGGGGTGGAACAGCAAGCTCTTTCCCTATTGGCTGGCAGCGTGAGGGTATTCAGCATTGGTTAGAAGGGCCTCGGGAAGGGGGGGGGAGGGGAAGAAAGGTCTCTGATTGGCTAAGGGCGCTGTGGGTGGGCGGGGCCTGATGGGGTTCGGCCGGGAGGCTTCGGCGCGGCGCCGCAGCCTTCACTCCCCTCAGAGCCGCCGGTTCGAGTCCCGCGTCCGCGCCCCCGCCTGGCTGAGGTAAACTGGGGGGGAAGGGAGGGGCTGGGCTCGGCCCGGCTTCGCGCATGCGCCGGCGGGGGAGGGGAGGAGCGGGGCGGGGAGCGGCCGTCGGCACCGGGCGGGAGTGAGGGGGGAGTGGGGGTGCGGACCGGCCCCGGCCCCGGCCCCGGCCCCGGCCCCGGCCCCGGGGGTCGTGATCTCCGTACGGCCGTGGGGCTGCCCGCTCGCTGGTGGAGGCAGCAGAGGGGCGGCAGCGGCGCCTCCCGTGGGCAGCAATGGACCCGGGGGGTGTCGCCGCCCTCTGAGCAGTCGCGCAAAACGTTTCTTAGCTCGATGCTGAGAGAAACTTCCGTTAAAAAACTGAGAAGAAAATCCCCCACGTACTGGAGAGGGTCCCTAAAAGGACGGGCTGAGGTCGTGACCCGTTTTTGGGGTGTGCGTTTTGGGCTGTGGCCGTGCTCCTGCCTCCCAGTGCAATGTCCCCCAGTTTCCCTTGGGCCTGCGTGTGCTGGCTGGTGCGGTAATTCATAGTTTTGGTTGTCTGGGGAATGATTTGTGGTAATATTTTAGGCAGAAAAAAGGCTTTGTGTTGTATCTTCATGAGGAAGTGAATAAACCCTAGTTATTTACGTAGCAGAAGTTGGTCAGCATCCCCAGCCCCATAACAAACAGCCCGTAACACTCCCGTGACAGGAAAGTGCTCTGCTTTTCATCTGCTGCAAGGATTTTGGAAATCCGGGGCTTGGGGACACATTTGGGTCTTTCTGCAGCCCCAAGAACAAAGTCTGAAGGAAAGGATGTGAATTTGAAAATCAGACACCCTGCTTCTCTTTTGGACGATATTGATGAAAGCAGCTTCATCCTTTTGGGGGTGGGGGCAAATCTTTACAATTAATCTTAAAGCAACAAATGTGTACAAAAGGTAAATAGGTTATAATTTCCACGACAGAAGATCTTTGACTCAGCCAGTTCTGAATATTTCAGCCTGAAGACCAGATCAGAAACATCACAGAAGTTAGGGCACATCCTAAACAGTGGATCTTACCCTTTATGGAAAGAAAGGTCAAAATAATGGTTTAAATTATGCTGAATTAAGTTTGAAGTCAGGTATGCCTTGTAAATTAAGTGTAATAAGGTGTTTATAGGAGACAATGAAAGCTACCAAAGATACATTGTAATGGTTTTCAAAATACTGGTTTTGTAAAAAAATTTAGGTAGCGGTATTTCTTTTTTCTTCATTCAACTTGGGTTATGACAAACCTATTTTATTGCCTTTAGGTACCATAGCTGCATTTGGCCATTATTTTTTTTGTTTGTTTTTAGGTTTTTTTACTATCTTGCTTATTTTTATTTGCTTTAAAATATTCCCATCCAGGAGCTCTGAGCACATGGATAGTCCGTTGATTGGTTCCACTTTACACAAGGATAAGTGTCTAAGTCCTCACCCACCTTCTGTGTCCTGAAACTGCTCTATTGACTATGATGGATCAAAGTATATTGCCAAAAGAAAACACTGTCTGTTCTCCTACAGCTTAGATGAGAAGCCTAGCCTGGCCAGCAGCCAGTGACTTGTCTGGGAGTCATGGTAAGTTAAGAGGTATGCAAGAAAAATCCTTTTCCTGCTGCAGGTATCTGCACTTAGCTCCCAGAACACAGCATAACTGAGACATTAGTGCTTGCTTTCATCTTGCTCTCTAGATTTGGCTGTTGATTTATGGGGAGGGGAAGCCGACTGCCATTTAATGCATTACCCAGAGACCAACTTGAAACAATGGGATAGCTGCAATTCAGGAATATCCGGACCAAATGAAGCACATCAGAGAAGATTTAGCAATTCATGTTTTGTGTGTTGTTTTAGAAAGGTTTTCCCGATGGGGGAATTAATGTGTTAGTCGACAGAAGGACTGCCTTACCATTTTGTGATAGGTTTCATTATTTCTAATAATGGCATTTATTATTTATGTAGTAATCCAGCTGTAATTCCTTATAATGGCACTGTGTCAGAGGACATCATCTTTGCAGCTGCTTTCCTCGTTACTGTGGCTCTGGAAACAGCTTTGCCCTTTGGATACCTGTCATCAAAATGAGCCATCGTTCCATTTTACAGTTGAGTGACCCGGATAACACTGTGGCGTTCTGTAGTCTGCAAAAAGCCCAATCAGCCTGTTTTGGTTTTGTGTGTTAAATATCATGTGGGATTAGTTCCAGCTGCAGTTTTGCTGAGATAGCCTGACTTCCAGTTTAGCAGTGACAGTGATTCATAAATCCTCACAGAGAAGCCTCTGACTCACAATTCCAGGATTACCAGTTGAGGCAGTTTGAGATGTTGCCATCTCCAGCTGTTTTTTACCACTGGCTTGCCATGATTACCCTACCTGTGGCAGAGTAAGCAGAAGTAGCTGTGTCAGTGTCTGGGTTGCTCCAGCTGCATTCCTAGTTTGGCATCGGAGTCCAAACCCATCTCAGGCCCTGGTATTATCTAATACACCGGGCAGTGGACCCTAACAGCTGATGTGTGGGCATCCATTCATCCTCTCCTCCTTGCCCACAGCTGCTGTGGCACAGTAGCTTTCAACACAGGCAAGATGGACTATTGGAAATAGAGAATCCTGTCCATCAAAGTCCTGAGGACATAGTTCATCCCAAGTCCTATGCTGGTGTCCGCAAATACGCTGTCAAAGGCCCCCTCATTCCGCTGGCTCGCAACTACCACAGCCTTCCCATCTCCAAAAAACAGGTTTCAAAGGATGAGCATAGCCCCCAAAGCAGGAGATACAGCAGGGAGCTCATATCAATTCTCTCCCGAACTGCTTACTGAACTCCTCAGAGGAAAGCGTGCAGCGAGTCCCAGTTGTTCTGTGTTATTATACAAGCAGGTCATAGCAATTAAGCTGTATGAAACGACCTGGGACAATATCTTGTACAGTCTGAGTTACTCAGTAACCAGATCTGTTAGCGGAGAAAGTACAGAAGCAGCAACACAACTGAATTCCACATTAGGAATCCAAGTTTAAACAGTTTCAGGTTGAGGAAAGCCAACAAATTTTATCTTCTAGAACTTCTTTTTCCTTTTTTAGCTGGTTTCAGCATGCTTTTCAATTTCTTTTAACACAAGAGGTCTCAAACATTAGTCAAAACCACCAGTTAATGATTCTTTATCAAGCTTTTAGAATTTGTACTTTCTGAAAGATTGGAAGAATATTTTATGGCAGCACAGGAATAAGTTAAAGTCAAATTCAAAACTGGTAGCTGTTGTAAACAGATGTTAGAGCAAAAAATGGGCAAAGACAAGTAACTAAATGTCTTTCTTCATTGTCTGTTTTCAGGTTTGCAAGTGTTTGTGATCAGATGACATGAAACTAGTGCTTAGAAAGATGTACAGGACCTGAAACGCTCATCAGACTTGCTGGTTCTGAAGTCCTGCACATTGATAACGTGGTTGTACCACACCTTTTATTTAGAGGACAAAAGATAAACTGTTCTGTTTAGGTGATTAAAACATATCTAAATAACATGGCTGCAAATATTAGTGCTTCTGTGTGTTTTTCTGCGACTGAAGAGGCTACTGGAGGCTGCTGCAAGCTTCCTTGAAGCAGCTTTTGCATCCATGTTCTAGAGGAGTAACAAAGCTTCAGTGAAGGTGAATGGGAAAAAAATTATATTTGACATGTAGCAGAAGTCCCTCTATATTTTCTGCTTAGCCGCATCATGCTGTCATAGCTCTTCTTGAATGTGGAAATAGATGTTTATGACATTTAGAAGCATCATGGGAATTAAGCTATCTCTGATTTGCTGATTAGGGAAGTACAACAGAAAGAAAAACATGAGCTCTCTTGCAAAGCATGTGCAGTCGTTACATAGCATTACACACTTAGGAACTCCCCAAAAATGGTTAAAAAAAATATTAATAAAGTAACTGAGCCAGACTATAAAACAACATTGTTCTGATTGCCTTTTCGCTCTATTACCACTCCAGGAAGATTCTACTTGTTCTTACAGCTTTAAGTTATCTAGAGATGTAGCCAAGCACCAAAACAGGACAGAAACTAAGGCAGAGATTCAGTCCGCCATGACCTGTTTTCATATAAATTGTTATGTATGATGACTTATCCACCCTATAATTTAGCCAGTTTTAGCCCCAGAATAATTTAAATCTTCATCTTGGTCAGTTCTGTCTGGAGATGAAGTACAGCAAAAGCTTGTGAGGTCTTTACCAAAACAGTGGACGGTATTACTTCTAAACTTCGTAAGACCTATAGTTTATAAGTCTTATAAAGCAAGGATCTTAAGTCTACCCATCTCCTTCCTTAGAACTTCTGGTTCATTTCCTTACAGGTAACAGTTAACTACCAGTTATCTAATTTTAAATACTCCCCCACTGAAAACGCTATTTGGTGTGTTAGAATCTATTCTGATCTTTGTGGGGCATGTAATTAGAACACTTATTCTAGCTGGAAAACTCTCCTCATTTTCATTGTCATCAGTGCAAGACTGATTTGATTTGAAGGTCAGGTTTTCTGCAGACCCACTTGTGCTGGAAGGAGATTCTGCATGCCACTGCCAAATTAAGCCGGAATTCTTAGATGTTTACCAGCACAGGGAATTTATTTTCCAAGATCTTTGTGAGATACTGAACTAGAAGAAAGCAGTCATAGTTCGTTAGGCCAACAAATGTCTGTACTTCTTTACAAAGAAACTTTGGATCTCTGCTTTCTCACTTAAAAACAGCTGGTATGAAGAGGACTATATATTGAATGCAGATGAGGTAACAGATGCTTAAAATGCTTTAAAGTCTCGTTATCTGATTTAGGGGTGTAGTACAACATCGTGATGGTCACCTCATAGGTGCTGAGTTATTTTCTTTAAGTTTGCAGGATCAAACTTACCAGGCAGTGCTGTTCAGTTTCCGTATAAAAACAATGTGGGGATGAGGAGAGAAGTTTGAAGTGAGAACAGGAGGTATACTCATCTAGAGAGTGGATTAGCCAACAGCGAGAGAAATGAGATACAGGCAGAGGATGCCACCTTAACGTTTCTGGGGAAATAAGTGTGCTTGAGCAGTTTGTTGTTAAAGTTCTGTAATTTAAGAATAATGTTCCACAAGCTTGATTTTTGTATTGATTTTTCTCCGGGTGTTGCTGCCAGTTATGAACAAATGGTCACGAGGAATTCAGAGGTAGTTACAAAACAATGAAGTGGAAGACATTGCAACATCCTCCCTTCCACAATCCATCTTCTGTTTCGTTTACGTTGGAGCAGATGCAGCTCACATCTCCATCCCCTCTTCTACCTCCGCTCCCCCCTCCCCAAGCTAATGAGAGGTGATTAAGATTCGGTTCTATCAACAGTGCAGTGCCACAGAGGAGAGCTCAACTCAGAGAGGAGATCAAGCACTTTCCTTCCCGTTAGCGTGGGAGGGAGCGGTGGGGTGCACAGCACCTTGCAGAGCCGGGTCCTGAGAAAATGAGACCCACTGCAATCATGTCGTAATCAGCATTTCGATGTGCAGTGGCTTTCTGGAATTCTTTCGTGAACATTTTCTTTCTCTGCTGACCCCTTTCCCTCACTTGCTTGCTGGAGCCTTTGTGTGGTGGATTTACTAATTTATTTTTTGTTTAAGCTTCCCTTTTCTCTTACAGAAGAGTTCAGCACAGTTTGATGTTTCTTTGCAGGATGGGCTGCTTTCACAGCCTCTGTCGGGAAGGCGAGCTGGACGGCGCGGCTTATTTTCCTTCAGTTCCTATTGTGCTTGGATCAGTCAACCTTAGGGATGAGGAAATGCACAGTACAGCTCGGCTTTTGTAACTCGTAATTTCATTTGGAAATGTTATCAAAACAAACAGATGCCAGCAGGATGAGCGTTAAGACCTGTGCAGAGTCTGCTCTGTCAGAAACGAGTTCAGAGTCAGTTTTGCCTGCCTAAACATTTCACCGAGCAGCTCATTAAAATGAATGTATTCAAAGGAGACTTCCCCCCCCCCCCCCCCCCGATTAGATCATTCCTGTGATAAGAGCATTAACGAGCATATTTTCCCATAAATAAAATGAACGAGCCTCGAGGGCAGGGAAGGTTATTTAGCCCGCAATAAGTTATATCCCACACTCATCCTTTAGAAAGTTGTGAACCAGTTCACCCCTGTGCTGTAGCTGAGAGCAAGCCCAAGAATGGCCTCTGACCTGCAGAATTGGCAAAGTGAGATTTCTTCCAGCTGTATGTTTGTGCTTTATTTTGGGTATAATCCCTGTGGATTCAGTGCTTAGCAAATTCACTGGCCAGAGCTCACCTGGAGCTGTGCTAACAGCCAGGGCAGCCCTCAGGGTGCCGCAAGAGGGACGGGGGAGGTCCAGCCCTGGCAGCAGTCACTTTTCCCAGACTATTTATTTGAACTTCATGCAGCCTTGTGCTTCTGCCCATGCGCTATCCATGTTTGAACCAATATTTACTCACAGTTCTGTGCACCAAGATAGTCAGCAATCGCTCTGATTGAGAGCGGAGCTGGAACCAGCCATCAGGCCAGCTTAGCAGCTTGGGTTGTTTGCATTTTTCAAAACAAATACTTTTGAATTTCAGGCTGGTGAAAGGCG